CGCGACTTTAAGATCTCAAAGCTGCTGAATCATTTAATAACCGTGTGAAATAAACAGCAAGTTTTGACTAGCAATACGCTCCGCGCGCGATTTAATTTAAGGCGTGAAATATAACACAGATGAAATTTGATGTAGAGAAATCACTAAATACCGTCATTCAAAGGATTCGGAGAGGAAGGACAAAGAGAGAACGCGTAAGAAGGTCAATCACCCATATAAGCTTTATTCCCATGTAACCCTCTCAATATATCTTTAATTCGCAACCAGTGTTAGAAATACTAGTGACGCGGATTTTACTCACGTGAACAACCCAAGCGGCTTTAAAAGCATGTTCATCCGCCTCCACGAAAACACGCACGCAACGCACTGTGACAACATTATCTGCGAATGCACTGGGTACCATGTCTAAAAATAGCTTGAGAGGGAATACCTTGAGAATAACACCTCTATGAGTATCTACCCCCCCTACTCTTCATCCTCTCTTGTTAGTGCTGAGTCCTTGACTTATGGTATAATGCAATCCACTCATGTCCTCAGGAACCTTGTGTGCTGATGACGTTTGTTTCGACTTTAAGACCCTCGGCTAAGAGGTCCAAGACTCTGCAGGACCTCAAGATCCTCGTCTAAAGACGTGATTGTTTGTTGATCTATTTTCATCTTTCAGGTGTTCAAACAACCATTACCGTGAACGTTCTGACACCTAGGAACTTTCCAGTTGATTTATATTACCTGACTGATGTGTCAAGATCCATCAAAAAGGAATCCATCAAATCGCTAGGACAGTTGTTAGGTATGTAATTCGTGCATTGTGTTTGAGCTCAAAACGAAGGATTGTGCATGGTCTTGGAACTCACAACAAATTTTTGATTTTAATTTATGTGGAATACCTGCAAATTAGCTGGTGAGTCATTTTATCTTTCATGTGATGTCACACGTCACGTATAGCTAAGTGTATTACACTATAAACTTCTATGGTTCTGTGTTGTATCTGAGCATCTTTGCTTGC